TATCACATCAGGTTTTTGAGATATCAAATATAGCATTTTCAATAAAACCAGCAAATTTATGCGCATATACGAATAGCTAAACAGACATCCATACAAGAATAAGATAAGATACAATATACAATAATGATGAAACAAACATTTAATGAGCCGTAGCACAAAGTTGTGAGAGTGACTGCATATCAATGTGAGTGAATGCATATTACCATGTAAGAATTGAATTGTGAAGATAATAAAAATATGTACAAAAAGGTCATTCACAATAGTGATGTTACATCTGCATAAACGACCTCTTCTTTGACGATCTCCGATGTACAGCTTATGGAATGTCTCTCATCAAGGACCAGCAGTAATCTGCCATCATGTTTGAGTCCCATCGGCTTTGGTAACGTTCTTCCATAACTTTAATGTCTTGATGAAAGCGTTCACCTTGCTCTTCGCTCACGTGACCCATGTTCTCTGGAAACTGGGCCAAGTGACCATGTAAGTAGTGAACCTTGATGCTCATTCGACATCCAAGTGTTTGGAAACTCAAGAGCAGCTCCTCCACACTCTCTCGATAGTTGTCCGCTTTCCTGTTCCCAAGGAAATTCCGCACCACATCAGAGAATGCATTCCAAGCTCTAGCCTCTGCCGCAGTCATTGTTGTAACAAAGTGTGGATCCCTGATGAGTGATCTTATTTGAGGGCCATCAAATATTCCTGACTTTTTCTTCTCGGCACTGAGACTTGAAAAGGTTGAACATATATAGCTGAAGCAGTCTCCAGTGTGATCAAGAGCTTTGACGAATTGCTTCATTAACCAAAGTTTTATGTGCAGTGGGGGAAATACAATTTTATTAATATCAACCAGAGGCTCATTCTTGATGTTCTTGTCACCAGGCGTCAAACTGATTCTTGGTGGCCAGTTCTTTTAACCCAGTGTTCTAATGTAGCCCTATTGTCCCAGTAGCACAGGAAACAAGGGTATTTGTTGTGACCTCCTTGCTGACCCAGCAGAAAATTAACCATTTTCAAATCAACACAAATTAGCCATCCATGAACATGGTATTCCAATCTATCCAGAACAATCTTGATGTTGGCATACTCTTCATTCATTTTTACAGTGTCCTATTGTGATTCAACCATACATATTTCTGTTGTGAAGTAACACAGATTTCAAACTCCTTTTACCACTGTTAATAAAAAGTCTCCATTCATTTGAATCATATGCGGGCAGTCCCATATTGAGAAGAAGCCCTTCAACATCATTACAATAAATAAGTTGACCATCTGAATGGAAGTACTTTCGCAGTGCTGCTTCTCTGTAACGATAAAAGGAGACACTAGTGCCAGGTAAGAGTAGTCCTTTCTCTTTCAGCCTGGAAGCCAACAATGCAGCAAACTGCTTTGGCAAATACAAATCTCTTACAAGATCATTCAATTCAGGCTGACTAAACAGAGACATTTTATCACAATCTGCATCAGATGGCGTATATTCGCTCTGAGCATCATCATCATCATCATCTGTAGAAGCAGGTAAACTGAGGGATTCAACAACAATCTCTGGTAGCTCAGTAAATACAGGCACAGGTATTTCCTCATAGTACTCAACTGGTCGTCTGGCAGATGGGATATCTGGGTATTGTAAGTGTTGTTTGTTTTTCTTATTGAAACCTTTTACATTGACAAGGCAGAAGTAGCAGTTATCCAAATGGTTTGTAGGTTTTCTCCAAGCCATTGGCACACCAAACTTTAGCTTAGCATGTTTTCTTTTAGACCATGATCGCAATGCTTCAACACAGGTTTTACACACCTTGTGAGGAGCCCAATTTTTGTCTTGGTCTCCAAGTCGTACTTTAAAGTAGGCAAGATAAACCTTCTTGACAAAGGTATTGATGTTGCGCCTTTAATCCTGAAAAGTGAAGCTGCCACAGATGTAGCAGAAGATATCTGGGTCATTACTGCATTTCCTTCTTTCGGATGTTGTAGCCATTGTTAGATCACGCCCTGTAGAAGAAAAATATTAATTAAATGTGGATATCTACATACAATTATATTATAAACACACTATCCTAAAAATACAGCACCATATTTTAACACTAAAGCAGTCACTGACTCGCAACAACTTGCAATCATAAGTGACAGAGTTAATTTCGGGTAAAATCAATGAAAATGGGTATGCCGATAACATAAAAATGAGATGTGATAGAGCAAATCTGAGATCAGATTTGGAATCAGCACCCTGACCAGTGTAATACATATTTTTTGGGTTAGATCGCGTAAATATATAAATGTGTCGTTAAACTCGTCACCACCCGACACAGCCAGTTGATAAGGTTTGTCAGGTAAATAGATTCGCTTCCAAGCAGCACTAAGTCAACTAATACATTGTTTAAATGCATGCCTATACAGATCACCATACTTATGTAATGCGAGCGTAAGCGGGGTTTCGCTGCTCGACTCTGGGCCAATCATGCGACCCAGGGTTTTGGGGAGCGGGACCCAGTATGGGGGCATATGTGAAGGTCTCTGCTCACCTCCGGTCCAATCGGATGCGAGGTGAGCAGGGGTGGAACCTAAGGGCGGAGCCAGCAAGGCGCTATGAGGAGGTCGGATCTGGAAGGTTCGGTGAAGGGCGTGGTGAGAGGGAGGAGACAGGATCACGTGGTGAAGGAATATAGGTGGGATCCAGGAAGGGCTCTGGGTCAGTTGGTGGAGTCACGAAGCTGGACCACGTTGGGTGGCCGGAGGGTATCCGCGCCATAAGCCACGTGGCTGGAGGAGCTTCGACCACACCGTCGGCTAGCGGTGTGCGGGAGCGGGGGGAGCGGTGTGACTGACGGGAGAGCGCGTGCGAGGAGTAGCTCGTCCGCTGTCGGGACCAGAGGAGTGCAAGCGTCAACGGGAATAAAGAGAGACGGAGACCAAGCAGTGTGTCGGCGAAGTCTTTTATTACACTTACAATGGCGATTACCGTTGAACAGACAATAACAGGTGCTGCTATTTCAGGGTATGCCATGGACAGGAGGGACAAGAACAGTGGGTTTGCATAATTCGCATGCACAATGTAGAGTTGATAACCAAAACGGCAATGGATCCACACTATCATTTATATGCATTAATTAAATCCCCCCCACCCCCCACTCCACTCAAGAAAGGTTCACAAGTGATGTAATCACATCTACCCCTCTATTTAATAAACGAAACAAGATTATTTCTCCACAAATCTGGCTGTCACCTGATGAAGCTAGTTGTAATTACTGGCTAAACGTCGTACTTAGATTGTACATATTGTGGCTTTGCTATCCAACACACCGGTGTGCTGTACTAGTAACGAATTGGCATGTTATGTTTACGTGACAAGCCTTACTAATTGGCTGTGTTGGGTGGTGGTGGGTTTAACGACACATTTATATATTTACGCGATCTAACCCAAATTTCTTTATTATGGATTATAATTGTTGTACAGTACTTGTCCATTTATTATTTGAGTGCATGTCACCAATTATTCTAATTTCACAGTTGTACTAATAGACTGCATCTGTACCAATGTAGTCTTGTTTTTTTCTGAAAATGAAACACCTTGGTTATTGCTCATGTTTTCCAACGAGAGTTGAAAGCATGACCGCATAAACTCCGTTCGTCTATCTGTCTGTAGCGGGGGGAGGGGGGGGGTCATGCCGACTCTCGTAAAATCACTTTAAAGGATCTGTGTAAAGTTTCGTTGCTATCAGGGACCTACCCTGGATCAAACTGGACACACTGAACAAACAATTAACTAGAATCCGTTCATTAGTTTTCTCATCAGTAATTATATTGACCTCTGACATTGGGTGATGTCTCACACCATGGTAATTGACGTCACACACCCTGGCTTTAAATTGCAATATACATTCATTTATTTTAATATTAATTTCAAACGTAAACGCAGTTGAGTTCCAGTACCCACGGGGTCAGTCCTAACTTGCCTGATTTGTCTGTCCGGCTCTCTGTGCCTCCAAATTGTCTTATCTTTAAGGTTATTTATAATTGATAAAGGCGCTTTACACAAAAATAACAGTGGTACATATGAACGTAATGGTGAAGACGATGTGAATAAAATAGATGAGAGGAAGTAATGGGTGAACGCGTGATGTGTGAATTAGGTAAAAGCAAAATTGATGAGAGAAAATGGTGATGAATGGATTGGATGTGTAGGGGTTATTACGGGAGGAACAGCGGACAACAAACACAGGGCTGTCGGCACTCACATACACGGGTGGTCACACCGACGTCCGCATCAGTTATTGCCCACGCCCCAGCCCTCGGAGGCGATCCCTATAAAAGGTGGAACCCAAAGAGCTCGAGGGGAGTTCGACACGAAGCTGACCAGTGAAGATCCAAGACTCGGAGATTAGGCCCTGGGACTCCCCGGTCTCGCCGTCCTTATAAGGGCCGAGCCGGGTAAGCCAGTGGCGCGGCCCAGGAGCTTCCAGACCGCTGCCCTTGTCAGGGCAAGGCTGGTTAGCTGGTGCCGAGATCTGTGCTTGCCAGGGCCAGATCAGTCAGCCTCCCGTAGCCCAGTAGAGGAGGACTGGGGGACAGGACAGAGGGCTTAGTACTAGGGTGGGTTTCCCATAGTACGGGTGAAGGGGCCGATACCCCTTCAACTATTGTATCTGTCCCGGAGTTAATAAACAGTGTGTCTCAACTTCGACATCGTCTCCTCTGCTACTTACTACATCTGGTGTCAGAAGTGGGGTCCAAGCATGGATACGAGACGGAAGACTCGTGCCCAAGACCCAGGAGAGGATGACGACGAGGGAGGGGCAGTGCAAGACATCGCCGCCGACGTACCTGCACAACTGCTGCCGGCTCCGGCATCGGCGGGGCCGTCGGAGAGGGCCGGGACGTCGACTGACGAGTTGGCGTTGGCTCACTCGCGGCTGGCGGAGCTCTTGTATGCAGCGGCCGCTATGCTGGAACAAATAACTCGCCTGGGGCCGGGAGGAGCGACGCGGCGGGAAGATGAACAACGCCCGCCAGAAACTCCCGCCTTTACAACAGCGGGGCGACTCGAAAATCCCGCCACGAAGACAGTAGAGGCGGAGGGAGGAGTCCCAGCTCGTCACGCGGGAGACGGTGCCCAGCCAGCAGCCGCCACGTCATCGGCGGAGGCGGGTCGCGGTGGCAGCCTATCAGGGGTTGAAACGTCACCACCAGCTGACGCCAGCACCGACCATACAGTACGGGGACGCGCTACGGATGCTGCAAGAGACGCTGCAAGAGGATCGGAGACGGAGCCGACATTCCAGCAACGCCTGCCGGCCCTGCAGGTATTTGTTGCAAGCGACGGCGATTGGGGGGGGTTCCAGCGCCGGTTCTTGGCCCACCAAGAGATGGCAGGCTGGTCGGACAACGAGGCGCTGTGTGCTCTCCCGGCGTTATTGGACGGCGACGCCCTGGGCACCCTCACTGCTGCACCCAAGTCGGCACGCTCCACCATTCAGTCGGCGCTGCAGCTGCTGGCCACCGTTTATGGGCCGCCTTCTGATTGTCGCCAGCTCTTCTATGAGCGGCAGAAGGGTGACAAGGAATCGCCACTCGCTTATCGCACGGCCCTGCTGTCATTGGCGAAAGACGCTTTCCCGCGCATGGATGAAGAGGGGATCGATGCGATGGTGGCCGAGAAAATTTTGCTGCTGGCTGACGATCTGGACTTCACCATCCTAGCGCAGGACGATGCGGATATGTCATCACTGCGGGCTGCAAGGCACATTCACGCCAATCTCATCTCCCAGCGGAGGAAGGCGAACAAAGCTGCTGCACGACACACCGTGGCGGCGACCTCTTCCGAAATGGAGGGAGCCTTCGCTGCGGATCGTTCTGCAGGATGGCGATCTGCCGAGCGTCCAGCTCGTGACGTCCCAAGCCACCGAGACCAGCCCAAGTCCTCTGGAACGCTCGTCGTCTGCTATAATTGTGGCCTCCGGGGTCACGTGGCGTCCGGATGCCGGGCTCCTCGACAGCGCGGTGCGAGACCTGGAGCTGCGGACGGCCCTCTTCACAAGCCTTCGCAACATCCTCGGGCAAGTCATGGCACCCCACATGTTCGGCCTGCACACACACCTACTTTCCTATCACATGGTCTGGCACACAATTCTCGGGGGTTGGGTGCTGGTGCGTCGGGTCGCGGCATGTCGGGGAGGGCGCTCCAACCGGGCCAATGGTCCGAGTTGGCTCACCGAGTTGTGGCTGCATCGGCGGGGTCGTCCGTTGTCGCGGGACATATTGACGGGGTGGAGGTACGGTTATTGGTCGATACGGGAGCTTCGGCAACTATCATTTCGGATTTGATTTATAATATTCTGCCCGTTCAGAGTCGCCCGTTGCTCCCTGTCGATATACCGTTTTACGCTGCAAATGGGGGCTCGTTGGGTATTATCGGTCAAATTCGAGCGCAAATTTCCATAGGGGACATTAAACTATCTGGGCCGGTGTTCGTCTCTTCCTCGCTGGCTATTCCGTGCCTGTTGGGGACAGACTTTTTGGCCAAATTGCCCATCAAAATTCTGATTGACCAGCAATGCATCGAGCTTCCATCAGGCCGACGCATGACGTTCCTACCTGCCACCCCTCCCGTGCGTGTTGCCTGTGCTACGGTACAGGCACTTGTTGCTCGGACGGTGCGTGTACCCCCGGGGGCACAGATGTTGGTACCCCTGCGCTTGCGCCGTCCGTTCGATAAAGGGGTCTCTGACCGAGGCGTTATTTTGGGACCATCTAGAGCCGGGGTGAGTGGGCCAGATCTGGTAACGGCCCAGACTATTGTTAAAGGGGATGGGGACCCGTTTATCGCGGTCCTCAATGTCGGGACACGGACGGCAGTGGTTTCGCAAGGTACCGTGTTCGCACATGCGGTTCCGGTACCTGCGGAAACGCCGATCGTTGGCCAGGTGGCCACCGATTCTCATACGCGATTAGCCTCAGACGCTGACGAGGGTTGGCTGGATGCGTTGTGTGCTGAGTCACCTGACCTGTCCGACGCACAACGTGCTAAATTACGCGCCTTATTGCGAGAATTTTCCGATGTCTTCAGTAAACACAAATACGATATCGGATGTACCAAATTGCTACGCCACCATATTGACACCGGTGACAACGCTCCTATCCGCCAGAATCCTTTTCGGTTAAGTCCCGCCGAAAAGGATCATGTCAAATCGGCTGTAGATGACATGTTGAAATCGGACATAATTTCTCCCTCAACCAGCCCTTGGGGTGCACCCATAGTGTTGGTTAAAAAGCACGACGGGTCCCTAAGGTTCTGCGTTGATTTCCGGCGATTAAATAAGATCTCGGTGGCCGATGCTTATCCGCTTCCTCGAATGGACGAATCGCTGGATGCCCTCGCGGGATCGCGATTCTTTTCCACTTTGGATTTGCTCTCAGGATTTTGGCAACTTCCCTTGGACGACGAATCTAGACCCAAAACTGCTTTCCGAACGCCGCACGGCCTCTTCCAATTCAATCGCTTACCCATGGGATTACACTCTGCTCCCGCGACGTTCCAGCGCCTGATGGAATTGGTCCTCGCTGGCTTGCAATGGGAGGTGTGTTTGATTTACCTGGATGACGTTATCGTATTCAGTAAGACGTTCGAGGAACACCTTGATAGGCTTCGGGCCGTTTTTCTCAAGATGCGCGCTGCGAATTTGAAATTCAAGCCACAAAAGTGCCATTTGCTGCGCGAATCTGTTAAATATTTGGGTCACATCGTCGGCCGGTCAGGTATCTCAACCGATCCCGCCAAAACGCGTTGTGTCAGCTCCTGGCCTACCCCAACCTCGGTGGGGGAGGTTAGAAGCTTCATCGGCTTTGCTTCATATTACCGTCGGTTTGTTGCGGACTTTGCTTCCATCGCTAAGCCACTACATGCCTTGACGTCAAAAGGGGTCAAATTTCATTGGGGGCCGGTGGAGAACGCCGCTTTTGTCTCTCTTCGGGATGCCCTGGTGGGGGCCCCGCCGTTAAGCTACCCCGATTTTTCCATGCCGTTCGTGCTCGACACGGACGCAAGCAATACCGGGATTGGAGGCGTGCTGTCACAAATTGTGGGTGGCGTGGAGCGCGTTGTGGCTTATGGTAGTAGAGTACTGTCCCCGGCCGAGCAGCGGTACTGCGTCACCCGCCGCGAACTGTTGGCTATCGTGTTCTTTATCCAACAGTACCGGCCATATCTGTACGGCCGGCATTTCACCGTCCGTACAGATCATGCGGCATTGCAGTATGCCCTACGAATTAACCAGCCATCGGGGCAGTTGTCCCGATGGCTCGAGATCATGCAGGATTTCGATTTTGAAACAACTTACCGGAAGGGGATTCGCCACACCAATGCCGATGCCCTATCACGCCTGCCGATCGCCCCGGATTGCACTTGTTTCTTGGGTTCGGGCCGTTGCAAATCGGCAAGTGACGGTCAGGATCGGGTTCTTGCGGCCGCAGTTGATTCTCCTTCGGACGCTGGTCCTATTTCGGAGGGTGGGAGTGATTCCCTACTTGGCTTGTCGAGTGCTGAGTGGGGCCGCCTCCAAATGGAGGATGCGACCCTCCTGGCACTACGACGTCGCGCGGAAGGATCGGGTCCAGGGAAGTCGGGCGTTGACTCATGGGGGTGGTGCCAGGGCGTACTCATGCATTGGGACGCGACAATCCGCCGTCACAGGCTGGTGGTGCCTTCCACGTTGAGGGGTAGGGCTGTATGGGCTGCTCATGAACGGCTCCTGCACCTGGGTACCCTCAAAACACTTGCCACGCTCCAGCTTAATTACTTTTGGCCGGGCATGGCAAGAGACGTGGACGATCTGCTGCGGTCCTGTACCCAGTGTGCACAACGGAAGCCGCCGGCGAAGGGAGCCAGTCCACCGCTCCAGTCCATTTCGGTCACCCGGGTTAACGAGCTGGTCGCCCTTGATATTTTGGGACCGTTTCCTTCCACGCCGAGGGGTAATAAGTACCTGCTGGTTGGCGTGGAATATTTCACGCGATGGCCTATGGCTTGGCCCCTCGCCAACCAGTCCGCAGCGGCCGTTGCGGAGGCTTTTGTTCAGGGCTACGTCCTCGACAAGGGCGCTCCGGAACGGTTGTTGACCGATCAGGGAAAAAATTTCACTAGTACCCTCTTACACGAGGTATGTGGCCTTCTGGGTACGAAGAAAGTTCGTACCTCGCCTTACCACCCACAGACGGATGGGATGGTGGAACGCTTGCATAGGACTCTTACGTCCATGCTATCCCACCAGGTATCTGAGTCCCAGAACGATTGGGATCTACGGATCGGGGGAGTCCTGGCGGCATACAGGATGGCTCCTCACGCGGCGACCGGTTTCTCGCCATTTTTTTTGATGTATGGTCGCGAGGTTGACCCGCCTGTCGCGACTCAGCTGGCGATTGCCGCGCCTCATGCTAAGTCGAAAATCGCCGACCATGTTAAATTCAACATCCTTCGCTTGGCGGAGGCACGGCAGGCGGCCATGCAAAACTCTGACTCCCGCCAAAAACAAAACGAGAGGTTGCGGTCGCGCCGGACTCACACGCACGAATGGCACCCGGGCGACCGAGCATGGTTGCACTGCCCCCAGGTGCCATTGGCCACCTCGGCTAAGTTGTTGCGACCATGGAGGGGCCCCGTTGAAATTGTGCAGGTTGTGCGGCCTCAATGTGTGCGAATTAAGTGGGGGAAGCGTCGGTGGTTTGTACACCCTTCACGGTTAAAGCCATTTTTTGCTCCGCACGCTTCCTCCCACGAAAATGGCCGAACATGTGGGGAGTCCTCTGACTCCGGGGGGGCGGGATCGATGCCAGCCTCTGATCCACTAATGACTGTCCCGTCTTCAGGAGCCCCAGGACTGAAGCCCTCTGGGCTGCCAGCCTCCCCCGTGGGGGGCGGCGCTGGCACGTCCGGGAAATCGGACGACCAGGCACCTGCTGATGCGACACCTGCCACCGACTCTACCAAGCCGGCCCCTTGTGACGGGCCCGCTGCACGGACTCGCGCCAAAACGCGCCGGTTGTTATGATTAGCTTACCGCGCGTGTTCCGTTGCTGCGGAACCCGCTCATTGTATATATGTTTTTTTGGTTGTATGTGTGTGAAATAACGATGACCACGCTATCTGCTTGTTGCTTGCCGTCCATGTAAGTGTGTGCGCTGCTGCGTGGTGTTGTCATCTTGATGGTATAGTTAATTATTAACGTGGGAGCGTCGGGTACCCTGTACTGCACCATCTCGTGGGTTACCGTGCGCGATGGGCTTAATTGGAAAAAAAGAGAAAAAAAAAATGTTTTTTTTTGGGCTGTATTGTGCCGCGAGGTGCGGTGTGCGATGCTGTCGTTGCATGACAGAGAATAATTGTGTTGCGGTTGCACAGTTGCGTCGGGATTGATGGTGTGTTGGTCGCCTGCAGATTTGCTTGCTATTGTGTTTCGATGTACGCGTGTGATCGCGATATGCTGATTGCATGTGCTGGTATACCGTTCTGTATATGTATTGCGGTTCTGCGTGAGGGTTTTTTTTTTGTTATATAGGGAACCATCGGTTGATGTTACGCTTGTTCTTGTTATTGTTACTGTTACGAGGCACACGTGTATTGACGGTGTTAATCTTTATTCTTGGGGGTTGAGGGATTGTTGCAGCCGGGACGGCTGCGAGCTGTACAGGGGGGGGTGATGTAGGGGTTATTACGGGAGGAACAGCGGACAACAAACACAGGGCTGTCGGCACTCACATACACGGGTGGTCACACCGACGTCCGCATCAGTTATTGCCCACGCCCCAGCCCTCGGAGGCGATCCCTATAAAAGGTGGAACCCAAAGAGCTCGAGGGGAGTTCGACACGAAGCTGACCAGTGAAGATCCAAGACTCGGAGATTAGGCCCTGGGACTCCCCGGTCTCGCCGTCCTTATAAGGGCCGAGCCGGGTAAGCCAGTGGCGCGGCCCAGGAGCTTCCAGACCGCTGCCCTTGTCAGGGCAAGGCTGGTTAGCTGGTGCCGAGATCTGTGCTTGCCAGGGCCAGATCAGTCAGCCTCCCGTAGCCCAGTAGAGGAGGACTGGGGGACAGGACAGAGGGCTTAGTACTAGGGTGGGTTTCCCATAGTACGGGTGAAGGGGCCGATACCCCTTCAACTATTGTATCTGTCCCGGAGTTAATAAACAGTGTGTCTCAACTTCGACATCGTCTCCTCTGCTACTTACTACAGATGTATGGGGAATGAGTGATAGTCATGGAGAGAGATTGTGAAGGAGCAGGAACGGTGGTCGTGGTTATAGGGGAGTGGATTAGGGGGTCGTGGGAGGGGAAGTTCGTTCCGGTGAAGGAGGGAGGGAAGAGTCTGGGAGAAACCAGGATAGACCCAAGTCACTCTTCATTGACAGCCATGATCTATTCACTATTGGATTAAGACCAATCTGATATCTCTGATTTGTGTTTGTCGGCTGATTAATCAATTCTTCTCTCTCAGCATAATTCCATGGATGCACCGCTCCACGCTTTCATAATATTCACCATGATCTATAAATCAAAATTTGCTTCAATAAGATCAACATTACGTCTCTCACCTGCATATGTTCTCTGATTCCGCGAATGTTTATTTCTGTCTATGTATAATTCAAAATATGCACGTTTCTGCGAACACTATCTTTCACACTTTGCATTGCTCTGATATATATGTCATACATAGCAATAAATATTCATTCATGAAAACTGTTTTTAAGAATATATGCGTCGAGTTTCCTGACTGGCTGCTCACTCGACTCTGCTAAATATAGATGGAAAACTCAATTCTTTATAACTGCCTGTTGTTGTGTTTAGTTTGTTGTCCTTCCCCCGCACCTCCGATTAAAATGGTAGGCTGCGTATGGCGCGAAATAAGTTCACCACACGTGAGTGGCTGCGGGCCATTACCACCTAACTCGCTGAGTAAGCGGGATTTTCCAAGTAACAAATAAACATCGACGTGAATTAAAACGGCGGAAGAAACTCGGAAGACACATTTTAGCAACACCCAGTAGGTAGGGGTAACAAAGACAGAATTCTGACAGAGTTACATAAATAAATTAATCCCTACATTTTCTATTTATACTCCTATGAACGTAATTATGTCACTAAAATATTGTTTAAATTCCGGAAAACAATATTACAATCCCACTTTATTAATTTCAGTGGTCGGACTACAGGATTGTGAGGAAAGTGTGAAAATTGCAGCTGTCTCTTATTTTCCGTTGCGAAGTAACAGGTTATCTCCTCGTATGTTAACATATACTGAGCACAAAGTGGTTTAGAAAATATTACAGAAGCTATACATAGGCATGCACCTTCTTGCTTGTTTTGTATCCAGATACTAATTATAATTCTATTTATAACGCACTTTTCACAACACTCAGCATTACAACTACTCATGAAACTAAAAACTAAGAAACGGTAAATGAAAGAAGTAAATACTGACTGCAGGAATCCTATCTCTTTGGTTCTTTGGTCATTTACGTAAAGTCACGTAGGTATAAAGAAAAAGTCACGTAGGTATAAAATAAAATAGGTCACGAAAGCATGTTTTCCCTCCTGATGATGGACCCCTGTGTTGTGCCCGAAACGTCGTGATTTATTTTATTTTATACCGACGTGACTTTACCGAAAGAACCAAAGAGTACTAAACCCAATTTAATACGTAGGCTTTCGCGACAAATATAATCCATAATAGAGGTTTTTTTTGGGTTAGATCGCATAAATATATTAATGTATGGTTAAAACCCTCCACCACGTTCTGTTTACGTGACAACCCTTACTAGTTGGCTGTGTCGGGTGGTGGTGGGTTTTAAGGACACATTATGGATAAAACCCATTTGCCAAACTAGCTTAAAGTAAAAAAAACACAAGTTCAAAGACACTTTTAAGACAATCTTTTTAAAAAATTCCCACACACGCAGAGATTCTGAAATCTCGTAGGAGTGAACTCCAGAGTTCGGGGAGAACATGGGCAGAAGCTGTAGATCAAACCCTTGGCCTGGCAACCCAGATACAATCCGCATCTCCGGATCTTTGAGGCCTCGTGGGTGGCCCTGGACAGGGGTGATCCTGCAGTTGACAATTGAAATATCTACAGTTAAAACCCCACGTACGAGTCAAAAATAAGTCACTATATCACTCTGGGGTCCATTAAATAAGCACTGCTTTGTTAAAAGTCCTGGTAATGTGGAATAATGTTGAATCTCCACCGTGCCACAGGGCCACTGACACAGATAAGCACCACCCCAGATCTTGGTTTTGTTGGGACAAACCTTTCCGTGTTAAATTTGACACGAAATATATTAACTGGCAGCACAAAGCTGATCTTAGTGTATTCTAGCATAAACATTTTGAAATTATGTCTATATTTCTATGCTATTACTGAAAAGTGTCTTTAAAGTCAAGAATAAAATAATACAGAGCTTGCCTATTTCACATGCAGCGGCCAAGCTTTGGTCTGGATTTTAAACCTAAAAACCGTATTTGAAAATTGATGTAATTGAATGAGTGCAAATATAAGTGTGTTGTTGAGGATTTGGCTTTTCGAACGTAGTGTGGGAAGAGCACTGTGTTGAGAACCTGGTAAGACGAATTTGATTCCTAACCATGGCTAATGTCAGTGGCAACGGATTCCTGCACTGATCCTGGGCCACCCTCTTTACCAACATGTATCTTTGTTGAACTTCGTTCACACCATACATAGCCAACCGTGTTAGTATGACCAGTACAGTCACACAAACCTTCACAGCCGACAGACTGGGGATGCTTTCAATCGGCAGTAGATTGGCAAATGACTGTAAATATATATGATCTATGTATAATTCGTTCATCTTAATTGGCCAGCCATTGTACTTAGTTTTAATGTCACATCCACTTATTTAATACCACGGTCAGCATTCATACAATGGCTGGTCAAATACCACGATTGAATTCCCCTATCTGCAAAAATGTCCAAATGCTATAGCAGAACACTGCAATTTATTCCAGTAGAGTTTAAGGTATCTGAAAGTAAACTCATTTATCTTGAAAGAGATATATTTGTTTACATGGCATGTGTAAACCTTCTCTTTGCCAGATACAAGTTCAATAGTGCATTGTAATTACTGGGTTCACTGATGTGCTATGGATTAAATTATTGGCTACTTATGTTCATTCTTTAAGTAAGCCCGTAAAACAAAGAGACATTCAAATGGCTTGTGTTGTTGAGGTTAATATTTGTATTTTCAGGTGAGGATGCTGTTTTATACACTTATTAGGAGGCCAATTCACTTTGAAAAAAATCATGAAAAAATGAAGAAGAATCATCTGTAACTATTATGAATAATAGTTATATTGAGTTTGTATATTGCAGTTTCATTTATCCAACTGCATCGTACAATGTTGCAAAACGTGGAGGTGTGTATATCCACCGACCCTCACCTGGATAATGTTAGATTCCAGGCTTGCTTCAGCACTGCCAAACAAGGACATTATTTAAATATTACATTAAACTGTGATGTGAAGAAAAACCTTTTTACTTTCATGTGGAGAGACAGATATAGAAAAGAGGCATATTGTCTGCTGAGTATTTGTCACTTATATTCTCCAAAATGATGCAAATTATTAGCTTTTTGTCAAGTATTAATCTGGGTGCATTGTTATCGTGGCCTTTAAAAAAAAGTATTGCTACTGTCTGAATAGGTGTATCCAGTTTCCAAAAGGTAAAGTTTAACCACTGTCATTATTTAAAAAAGTTGTAATTATTTGATTGAGCCGTAATATAAAAATATTGTTTAACGTAGGTATATTCCATAATGTGAAATTTGAGCAACTTATAAATTGCATTTTTGCTGATTAAAGCGTCTATAAGGCAAAGTGTCACCATATTCAAGTGAGTCAACGGAAACAAAATCCCACAATGCTATGCCATGGCCAGATTCTCCAGATCAAAACTCCTTTTGAAATTCACTAAAATGGTTCTAGTTCCATCAACCCTCTGAGGGGTAATTGGCTGTAAACTACAAACCAGGAAGTGAACTTAACAGCACTCTAGCTGCCTATAGATTTTTAGCATGCTCTCAACATTTCATAACTGCCAACTGATACGAGAAAACCAATACAGCATTGCACATCCTCCTATGCCAACTACTTGTATTTCTT